CAAGGCAATAAATTTAGCCAGGTTAAAAGAAAAAATAAATGTTAATATATTAAAAGTTAATTGTCACTTTCTATGTTAGAATTTACAGGTCAGCACTGATGGTTTCTGTGATTTTGATATTGTTACATATATTGAGTAATAACTTCACGGATTAGAAGAAAAACAAAATCTAGTGGTCAATATTTCAATACAAATAAAACGATACATGTAGATGTTTTGTTTAGTATAGTTATTCATATGAATTGCATAGCACCAAGTCTTTTTTAGTGTCTGGGTACAATGAAGAGCAGTTGCTAATTTACTGCCTCTTATAAAGAAGAGATGCTTGTGAAATATTTACTTGGAGAATTAAAAAATAATACTCTGCTTAAACACTCAACAGAAATTGGTGGAATCTTTCTTTTAAAAAAATATCAATGCCATTTTTCCTAGATGAATTTATAACCATACAAAATGAGAAGTGTAATGGTTGAAAAATCACATTTCAGAATAACAATTCCTCTATTAAACCAAGGAATTAGTTAACTATTGTTTAAAACTTTGAAAAGAGTCATTTGCATATTCAGCATTGTTCAAGTACTTGAATCTCTACATAGCATAGTTGTTAGCATAATGCTTTGGCCAATCTATTCTTTAGGCTTCATCAGATGCAAATAATAAGAAAAAGGAAACAATTTCATTAAAAAGAAAAAATCTGGCAATTGTAATTATTCATTAATGTATCTACTAAGTCAGTCTATTTCCTCATCATTATCACCTACTCCAAGTATTTAGATGATTCAAAATTAAACCAAGGAAGGAAAGCTCTCTAACATCAACATTGCTGAGCAAAGAAAACCACAGAGTTGAAATCTGTGTAAGCTCAACTCCTGCATCTGATTGACAAAACATAGTACGAGTCATTTAATTCACTTTAGTCATAGGAATATGAAGAACAAGTCAGTTATAATTTGTGTAACCAAAGAAAAATAAATATGAAGGAAATTTAATGAAAAATTAAATTGAAATTAAACAAGAACCCATAAATATGCTGAACCAGAAGAGAATTCACTTTTCAAAAACATGTTCATCACAAAGGAAATTTTGATGCAAAACTTAATGGAGGAGAAAGAGGCAAGATTTTAAAAGTAGGGGTTGCACTCAATAGTTACCGAAGTAGTAATGAAATGCTGCTATCAAACACTAAATGTAAAATTGCTAACTACTTAATAGCTTCTGAGTGGTTTCAAAAAATACAGCTTTTTAAAACTTTGACAGTAAAATCTTGAAAAGATTACTGATTCTGTTAAAGAATTAAAAAAAAAACCAAAAAAAAAAAAACCAAGTTTGTACAATATGAGAATATTAACAAATTAACCATAAAATCAATACCAAGCTGGTTCCTTTCGATGTAGAACAAATGAAGGGAGGGATATAAAACCTACCAGTTAAAAACTAGAAAAGAGTTAACAAGAATGTGATAACAGCATAAGCTTAATTGATCTATTTAGAAAGAAAGAAAAGCGAGGTTTAGGAAATTGGAGATCTTGCTGTATTTGCTAGAGAAAAATGTGGATAGTAAAAAAAAAAGGTTTTTTGAGCAAGTATCTCTTCTATTGTGTCAGAAAACATTTGACAGCAAGCAAAAAAGAAAAAGGCAAACTGTAAAAGAAATTGTGTGTGTGTGTGTGTGTATATATATATATATATATATATATATATATATATATATACACACACATAATTAAAAGCCAGCTTCCATTTGCTAAGAAACAAGACAAATAACATGAAGAATGCATCTCAAACAGCAGCAACACAGAATAAGAAGAACAAACAAGATAAAAATTAATTTTTACATGGAAATGACTGATAAGAAATGGCTTAATATTTAAATCAGTAATCCTTGCGGGTCGAGAGATTACTTGATTGGTAGAACACTGTTCAATTTTTGATAAATTTTGCCACAAGGCCCTTAATTTTTTAGCATTTCCTGGAGAATAAGCTCCAGCTTGTTAATGCAATGTTGATAAAACAGAGGTGATAAAAATGATATTAAGTTTTCATTTTAATCCTCAATGTGATTCACACAGTTTAGGACAGATCTTAGCAACAAATCTTATATTCTGTTAAATTTTAGCCATAAGTAATTTATGATTTAATTTTTACAAACATAGAATGTATTCTTTATTAAATCCATAGCACTATATAAGCATTTTCCCCAACAAATACTTTACATTCTAAATTAAAACCTATTTCAATTCAATAGGAAATCATGATTTTTATATTGAATTCAAATACATGTTTTAATCTTTATAATTTAGAATATAAAGTGTGTTGTGGGGATAAATGTTTATATAGTGCTATAGATTTAGTAAAGAATAAATTCTGTTTGTATTTCCTTTTACAAGCTTGTAGATGTGACATGAATTTTTTTTTAGCTAAGCAAAAATAAAAACATATTACAAATTAGTTTATATTAGTTTATACATTTGAAAAAAGTTTTGCATCACTGAATGTCATAATTAGTGCTTTGTGAAAAATAAGCATGCAAAAAAAGAGGAAAAGAGGAGGAAAAGGAGAAAGAAAAGAAAGAGAAAGAAAAGAAAGAGAAAGAAAGAAAAGAAAAGAAAGAGAAAGAGAAAGAAGAGAAAGAGAAAGAAAAGGGGTGGGGGTAAAATTTGTAAGAATCAATTACCAAGGCAAAGAAGGAGACAAAAAGAATTTGAGATTTGCAATCAGCAAAGTGAAAACTAGCTCCTTAGGTGCTTAATAAAAGTGGGTGGAGCCTTAATAAAAGGTGGAGAGACAGAAAATCATTTAAAAAGTCAATAATTCAGATTGTAAATAAACAAACCTTTTTTCAGAACCACTACCAAAACACCCAAGCTTGTCCCCAAGATGTCTTACGCTATCTGATAAGATAGCAGTAAGTGAAGAAACTATGGTACAATTAAATTAGTATGTGAAAAGCTCACATAAATTAAATATCGACTTGTATAACTCGCATAATAATCTAAAGTACATTTTATCAGTTCTGGAGTAAAGGGCAAAATTAATAAACAAGGGTGGGAGTTTTAATAAGTTTAGCAGGTGGAAGGGTAAAAAAAAGTTCATTTAAAAAAAAAAAAAAAAAAAAGGGAAAAAAAGTCTATCATTCTATTAAGCACCTAAGATTAAGGCAAGTAGATCTTAATGCAGAAAGCAGTTTGGTCTAAAAATTCTTTTTTTTTTTTTTTTTTTAAATCATTAAATATCCTTGTTTAGAAATTGTTAGTATCAAATTTTCAGAGAATGACTAATTTTTTTAACAAAAACAATTTAGATTTTTGATTATTTTTAGTTTAGATCAAACAAAAAAATTAAAATTGACTAACTTGTGTCACAAAGTATTTTCAAAAAATCTTTCTTTTTCTTTTTAAATCAAAGGCAGATCTAAATGCTAGAACATAATTCTTCAATTTTTCATTCATTACAATTATGATAGTTACAATGAAAAACTATATTTGTTAGAAATAACATTTAAACAATTTTGATTTTTAAAGAATTGTTATATTCCGTGCTAATAGGAATATATATACTTGAAAAACAAGGTGGATAAAATAAGTAAAGGTTTATTGTAAAAAACCAGTACAATAAGAATAAAGGTAACAGTTATGGACAAGGTCATCGCAAGTCAATCCAGTAGTGAGTGATACTGTTGGAAGGTCAGTAGGTCTTGCGTAAGTCGAGTCATACTCAACAGATCCCAGCTAGTATATTTAGTTATCCACCCACGAGGGTTGCATGTGGCACAAGGCCAGTTTAACGTGGGTTCTCTGAGCCCGTAGGCTTGGCCAAAAATATTCCCTTTTTGAACCCACATAAATGGGTTCAGGGTCAGTCTACCTTCTCGAACAAGACTGCCCTTCGGCGGAGCCTCGTCTGGGTTCCACTCTGCTCAGAGGCAGAGAGTTTGACTGTCTAGCTGGAACAGGTCGCAGCTTGTCTCTCTAGTTCGTTGACTTAAAGATACCTATAGGTAGTTACTACCTATAGTGTAGTCACTCATGGGGGTGACAGGTTATTCCATTACATCAAGGATATTTTTATATCAGTCAAACAATAATATATTTGCAAACCAAGCTATTGGTACTACACTAGGAAAATTTATACTTTAATGTATCCTCTCTCTCTTTTTTTATTTTTTTCAATAAAAATAAAGAAATTGATAAATAGTATTGACAAATTTCATAACAGTCAAATTATAATGGAGGAATTTGATGTAAGAAAAAATTTTTGGTTAATGATGTTATATATATATATATATATATATATATATATAAAATATACTTCTGTTTTGAAAATTAGTTTGACAAGATCATTTGATGCGTACATTATTATTTTTATCTTTGCACTGATTTGGAATTATATTTAAACTAATTATAGTCATTCAATGAATATCTCATGAGAATGTAAATACAATTCAAAATGGCATCAGAAGAAAATGATGGGAAAATTTTTTAATGATTTGAAAATATTATGGAGGAAATACATAGAATTTGGGTGGGAGCAGCTTTAAGAGAAAAGACTTTATTGCTTAATTGGAAGAAAATATAATTTTGCATAATTCATTTTTTGATCAAGTGATATACCAAATTCTCTTAACCATCTAAAATTTTAAAGTAACTAAAATAACAAATGCTAAAAAAACAAGATTCTTAAATGTATTCAGTAGGAGCTTACTTCTCATGAAAATAATTTTTCATTGAAATATCAAGTATTGATAAAATAAGAATATCTTAGCAAAGTAACCAGCACATTTTCACAGCATTATAATAATAATCAGGACTATTTTATCCACTCTAAGTGTCTATCTAATATGTGAAAAATTATTTTTTTTTTTTTAAGCACTAGAATAAAAAAAATTCCTATTTGTTCACAAATACACGTAATTGATTATTGATTAATTTAATTTTTACAGTTTATCAACCTTTTGTGGGTTATTTAAAGCCAAAACATATTTTTGATTATAGGAGGTTTCTTACAGTACCCAGTGTTCTCAAATGCTACCCCATCTAAGTACTAACCAGGCTTGACATTGCTTAACTTCGGTGATCAAACAAGAATCAGTGTTTTCAGTATTTGACCAGAAGCTCACAAATACAAGTAAAATGTAGATAAAGACAAAATAATATATATATATATATAAACGTGTAATTTTTGTCCGAATTTCTGGGATGAGGAGTTAGCATTATTTACATTCAAACTAATGTCCTCATCTTTGTTTTTAACATAATGTTTAAGCCATTGTGCCCTCAAGCTTTTATCAGGTTCTTGTTGAGACAAGTAATCTTCAGGCAATTTTGAATAGCACCTTTTATTTAATCTACAGGTTCTGTGAAGGTTACCTGGACTGATATACACCGGAAGAAGGTCAGAAGGCACAATGAATGGAACATTTGGGATAATGACAAAGATGACATTAGTTTGGATGCAAATAATGCCAATAAATAAAAGTGTTTATGTTAGCATAATTGTTTCTATTACACTGATTAGATAAAACTTTATGAAAAGGACAGGGAAAGTTAATACTGCTAAGATAATTATAGGTTCACCTTGTGTTGCACTTCTAAATTTCTCCATTTTATTATTTGGATAAACAGATGTTTCTCATATGCTTTATTTTATTATTGTTTTCATAGCTATTGGGTGGGGAGATTTAAGACTTATTTTCTCTTTCTTTCAAACGAAAAATATAGCAAAATACAATTTACTTTTTTCTTTTTCATCTGAACTGAGGTGTCTTCCCTTTATTACCGGAATCTCTTCAGATGAGTTTATCTTTCAGTCTATTTATTAATCTAATAGAGATTGGTTTCAAAATGAAAACTGCAAATTCACTTCACTAGCTTCTAGAGTTATAGTTATCACTTGATCAAAAATATCACAAAGAGAAAAATTAGATAGGGAGAGTGAAAGAACTTGAATAAATGATTTCTGTTTTCATAATACACCCTTTTGAATTGTGCATCATTTGCAGTGAGTACACAACACACATGCAGTTAATACTTACACCCATTTGGCATGCTTTCTTGTTTTTCATTCAGTCCATACATAGGCAGATTGCCATCAACAGTATTTACGTAGACCATACCTGGGTTATCATAACCCTGTCGTCCAGCAATGCCATTCGGGACGCTTCCATTCGACATATGGGGATAGCTGTAACAGAAAAGAAAATCTATTAATATGGAATTCATGTTAGTGGGACAGGATTTAACTAACATAAAATAGCAGCTATAAAAACAGATTTTGAATTGGTCATTTGAAAACTTTTTCAATGGTACTTTAATATGAATTTTCTTCAAATTTCAAAAACTGTTACCAAAATTTAATATGTTATGGAGTCAGATAAAATAACACAATATTAAATTCATAATGTCATAATCAACATAGATTAACTGATAAAAAAATGTATCACTCAACTTGTTCCAACAACCAACAAGAAAGCCATTAAAAAATAAGAGCTAAAGTAGTAATGTCCAACATTGCTTTTTGTTGAAACATAAAATGATACAGTTGGTGTTACCATAGCAATGGAATTATGAAAATTCTTAAGATCCAAGGTGCATTTTTTCCTGACATGGGTGACACTTTGCAAATGCTTTTATGATCAATATGTGACAAAAGAAAAGAGGACTGGTAGTATAGTGAGAAGAAATCCATGATAAATATGAAGAAATAAATTTGGAAAGAGAGAATAGATATGAGAAAATAGAGAAAAAAATGGAGGATGAGAAGGAGACAATTTGAAATAGAATGATAGAGTAGGAAAGTGGACCAAAGATAAGGGAAGGAAGAAAAGAAAACTATCAGATAAAAAGTTTAGATTTATTTTTCTGTTGAATGTAGTGTCCATTGAAGGAGAAATAAAGCAATGGCAGCTTGCAAGTCATCATATTTTATTCAAATCTGAAAATATTTTTCTATTTTAATCTTGCATTGTAACTGGAATTTCTAGCTCACTGGATTACAATTCAAAGAAACTTTTTTCTCCACATATTAAAAGCAGCCATCTTAAAAGAAGGCCAGAGTTTCTATACAAGTCACCTATTTCCATCCATGCAGTGTCTTGCAGCCATTATTTGGATAAAGAACAGGTGAGAAAATTTGTTAAAGTTAGGATATTTTATTGTTGGATTAAACGAAAACTTTTTTTTTTTTTTAAAGAGCAAAATAATTTATAGAATTTCATTAAATATTTTAAATTTAAATCTCAATTTTTTTTTTTTTTAAAGTTCTTTTCCTCTTTTCTTTTCAAAACACCCTTTTAACCATATAACTTTATTTAAAAATACTGGAGAATCAGAGATAGCAAATAAAGTTTTTTGATTCCTTAACCACTACAAGATGACACATTGACTTTGATATGTATATTGCAAAATACGAATATACCCAACAAAACTATTCTTTTGTTGCTTCTTAATTTCTGAAAAAAAAATGGTGATACAATGTATTTTTGCTCATATTTGACTTCTTTTATGTACCATATCCCTTCATGATGTAAGCGATCACAGCTCTCCACAACTTCTTGTCTTTTGTTGCTCTAAGTAACTTTTATCTCTTTATCATCCCTGCTTGTTCTGCTATCCATTCACATAAACTCATCAAGTAGATTATTCAGTTTTTTGTTTTCAGTATGTCTTGTAAGTCTTAAATTCTCTAGGCCCACTTTCCTCATGTGTCCCAGAAATTTCAACTGTCTCTTTTTAATTATAAGTTTCCTTGTAGTTTCTATTTTCCTTACAACTTCCTCATATGCTCTGTCCATGGTATTCTTAGCATTCTAATGATTCAGTTCTCTTCATCTGCGATGAGATTGTCCAGCATTCACTGCACATTATATAGCAGTTCTGCATTCTTTTCTTGGTTATCTTGCACCTTTGGAGTTTTGTCCCACATCTTCTATTGTCTGTTATTACATGACTGGGATAGTTACATTTCTGTGTCTGCTTGATCTTGCCATCCTCAATATGTAGCTCATATTTTGAACTGTCTCTTTTGATGACAACCATTCATTCAGTCTACTTATAGCCAATAGTTAATCCTTGCTTTCCTTTATTACCTTTTCTGACAGTACTTTCAATTTCCTTTATAAGTCTGCCATTAACACTGTGTCATCTACATATCTCCTGTGGTTAAGATTGTCTGCTGATGATAAATGCTTGTGAGTCTTCTTGTTCTCTCAGGATCATCATGTTGTATAGGTCAAACTTTTGTGTTGCTGTGAATATTGAATTTTATATGTGCAGCTATTTTCTACTATTCACTACTGACCCATTTCCCAAAATATGGCCAAACAGAATTTCTCTTTAATTGCTTTTTGGTTGGGCAGAGAACTTTTCAGTGTTCCTTTGTACAAGTATTAGAGAGTTCAATTTTCAGAGGTGATTCAAGAATGCAGCTTATTACCAAAGGCTGAACAAATCTTCACCACCCCCCCAAAAAAAAAAATTGCCAGAAAAATGCCTTAAAAATAGAAATAAGTATTAAATAGAAAACCATATTAAGTGAGAGTGTGAACACAGCAAAATCATTGCAATTCACATCTTGTTTCCTAGAAATTACTGTACTGAATCAAAAAAGTAGACATTCTACATGCTAGAAACCAAGATCATTAGTGCCAATCATCAGTTGGCCTGAATTCAAAAGTAAATAAGTAAAAAAAAAAAAAATTGCTTTCTGCTACTTTTCATCAACCTAAAGGTTAAGAAATTAAATGGTTCAAATTTTTTAAAGTTAAATTGTACATATACATAAATATAGTAAAATAGGTGAAAGAGTTTGAAGAAAAAATATTGCCAATGAACATTGCTGCTGTCAGCTATATTTAATCACAAATTCACAGTTGACATAATAAAATCAATACCAGATAAGAATTCACTTGAGGCATAAGATTGCACAGTGAATTTCATTAAACTATAGACAGGTTAAAAAGTTCTAACAGAGAGAGGAGGAAGTGGACATTTGGAAAATATGAGTTGGGTCAACTAAGAAGAGTTAAGTAATAATGAGAGATGGAAAGGTTTTGCAATGTGAGTGAAACAAAAATCTATGGACAAGCTATTAAGATTAGCTAAACATTAAAAACCTTGTTTCTTGACCAACAAAACAAACCATGTTTAGTCAATATGAAATGAGCCATCTTTTAGAAATTTTATATAGCTCAGGTGAAAATATGCATCCTTTGGTAAACAATCTCACCTGAGATTCAACCAAGAATTAATTATTCATTAGTTTTTCTTTTTTTGCATGCAGAGTTTGAAAAATCCAGCTTATGAGAGTTAAATCATTCTCAATGTATGGCTATTCTTTTTCAATAGTGAAATAATGTGTAAAATAAATGTTTTTTTGGGGTTTTTTTTGCATACTTAGTTATATACTTTTATATAAGCAAAACTAATACATATTATGAAAAAAAATGATGGTTACTGACTTCATTAATATGAGAGATTATTTAGCTTGAATTAGCAGAGAGACAAATAGAAAAATATTGGAAGAAAGTATTTAAAAGTAAAATGAAAATCATTCATTAAATGGTTTAATAATAAAAATGAATACTCACTTGACTTCATTTCCATATTGTTTTTCTGAAAGAAAGAGAAAAGATTAAATTATTTACTGCTTCCATGTATGAAAAATCTTTGCACAGATTTCATTTACATCAACCATAATTTTCTATCACTGAGCTATATTTTTAATCTTTTTTATTAAATAACCAGACATCTATTATTTGTTTTTGACAAGTCCCTTTTCAATTTATTTCTGTTAATAGTGACAATGTTTCAGCTAAGAAACTCAAACATCATTTCATCTATTACTACGAGTAACAACAAAAACTACAACCATGCATTCAGTCGACTTATAGTCAATAGTTAGTCCTTGCTTTCCTTTATTACCTTTTCTAACAGTAACAGTGTAGGGAAGTTTAGAGAAAAGAATATACATATTTAGTTAAATTTGAATGACTCCTGCCAGACAGCTTTTGTAGCTGAATTGGTAAGACATTGTCACAGTAGGAAAAGATCCTAATGATAAAGGACGCAAGTTTAAATCTAATGACCTGATAACCTTAAAAAGCAACAAAATTAAGATGTAAGGAAAACTAGTCAAAAATTAATATTTTTTTATTTTTTAATTAAAAATTATTATTTAAAAAGTAATAATAATGACAGTACCTTTAACTTGAAAATTCAAAGGATTTTAACCAGATGCTTTTATTTTGTCTCAAATCTCAAAACCATTTCAGTCAGAATCTTCTTTGTTCAGGGTATTGAAATTTAGGATATTTAGACAATAAGATTTATAAGCAAAGAACCAATTAAATTTCTGAATCAGTCATATTGATTTGATAAATAAAAGCTTCCATTTCAGTTGGAGATTATACTGAAAATATTTTCACCTCTTGCAACAAAAGAACTATCATCCAGTACAAGAGTGTATTGAATAATTTACACACAAAATAAAATAATAATTTATAAAGAAAAGAACATTAGTAACAAATCAACTGAGAAGACATTGTATAAACAGTTGATCTGTCAGGATAAAAACTGACAGCGCGATTCATAGTTGCTTTGGCATAATGTGTTCCATTCAAAATAAAATGCTATTAAAATAGTGAAAGAGATGGCAGGAAAGGAAAAATTATAAGAAACTAAATGCAGTACTGCAGATCAGTTACTGAAGTAATAGTTGATTTAATTGGTATTCCAGTCAATAAAATAATCCTATCCTAGTAGAAAGTAGGAGCATCATATGCTGTTCGTTGATAACAATTGCAATTTCTTCTAACCAGGATTTTGTAAAATAGGAAATCCAGTAATAATCTTTGAATATTGCTGCCACATTTGGTCTGACACTTCTATGTATTTAGAAATTTTTGATAAAATACAAAAAAATTCTGCAACGTTATTGGCCCTGACCTGCCATTTTGGCTTCAGTCACTTTCCCACTACTGTAATATAGCTTTTTTTCTACAAATAATTTTGATGGTAATTGTTCTAATAAGCCCTCTTATTTGGCATCAAGGTCTCATAATCTTACAGTTGAAATGTCTAAATGTAACTGTAAGCTAACAGTTCTTATCTTGCTTGTGGAACTCTCTTCTGGCTACTTGCTTTCCAGACAAGTTTGATCTTGCAAAAACTTAAATGCAATGTTAGTTGTTATCTTCTGTCTTCTTAATTCCCGTTCTTGGTTGTTATTTTTCTCTCTCTCCTTAATGTTTTTTTCCTCATATTTTCTCACACTTGTAACCTCTTGTTTTTTTAGTGGCTTTATTGCTTTGTTTTGGGTGAAATTATTAAATTACTAATAAAAAAAAATGACAAGAACTAGAAATATGCAAAATATTGATGATATTGCTTAGAATATTAATTATATAAAAAGTAGTATTCCTGACACTTCTGTTATTATTATTAAAAAATGACTGTATAGCTCTCTTAACATTTTAAATTAGTCTCTTAAATAAATGGTTTTGTATATATAATGAGTCTAATAATGATCGTTAACAAGATATGCTAGAGGTTGTAATAATAATGTTAGAATTATATAATGATGAAAAAATCTTAACAAAAAAACCCTATATACACAGGTTTAGGTTTCAAATTTTACTTTCAAGAAAAAACTTTAGAAAAGAAATAGGTGAAAAAAAGAAAGACTAATATCCTACTCTTGAAAAGTAACACCAATTCCTTTGTTTGAAAAGCAAAAGTTTTAGTCCCCATGTGGCTAACAGAAGCTGTCTGGCAAAGGAGACATTAGATTCTAGTGTCAGGATAACTGTAAAGCCTACTTACTGTCAATTCCTAACAGCTCCACCCACCACTGGCAAAGGGACATATAGAAACATACTTAATGTCTCAGATCACCCCATGTTTTTTTTTTTTTTTTTACTCCTCATCTGCATCTGATAGTACAAGAGACATAAGAAAGTTGGGGTGAATGACAAATTATTTCATGCCATCTCCCCACTGTCTGAATCTTTCATCACTTTTTGCCAATTTTATTTTGGCGCCAAAGTTAAGAAAAACAGGCTATTGAGTTTCAACATTTGGCCACAATTCTGTAAGATCCATTTTTTTAAAAGACAGCTGGAACTTTAAAAATTCTATTCTGTCTATTTGTGTAATAAGAGTTTATATATTTTACAGCTTCCCGTCTACTGATGTATTTGTAAAAGAATGAAATGAATGAACTTTGCTGAAATTTTAGGGCTAAAAATGATAAAACTAACTTTTCTACAAAGAGTAGTAGATAATTTATTGTATAATTAAATCTAAATGATAATTTAGATTTAATTATACAAGTTCGCTAAAGAGTGATTCATCAACATTTTTAAATAAAGACAACAAATATTAAATAAACTAAAGGAAATAAAATTTTTATTGAAGAGTTTTTCAAAATTAACATGTAAAAGTAAAGCAAATGTAATTAAAATGCAAATCATGCTTAGGAAAATTATTAAAAATGGTGAAATTGAATGATATTTTTTTCTAATAAAACATTTTTTAACACAGAAAAAAAATTGGCAGTTCTAATATTTTTAATAGTTCCATTACATAAGACAGATTGTGGATAAATATGTAAAGCAAGTATGAAACAAAAAAAAACTACAATTAATTTCCTTGGCAATATCTACAGAAGTGAGAAGAAAAAGAAAAAAAAAAAGAAAATTTGAAAAGTGACTCTTCATGCATACTTAACTGATATTCACTTTAGCAATATTTTTATTTTTGTATAGCTAGTGTATATAATTTTAGAAATTAATTTAGTTTAAAAATAATCTCTTCAATTAAGGAAAAAAAAAACAAAAAAAAACAAGCTTTGCATATTTTTTTTTTTATTGGTGAAAAAGTGAATTTCAAAATATCTAGATGTTAGTGTACATATAGATAGTTAAACACATTTACAAACCTTTTGTCTGAATATGATAAAGGCCTCCATGGCTGGTTTGAGATAATGATTTATATCAATTAGCTATCAGACATATTACAAATAAACAGACTGCAATGAAGAATAGCATAATTTTTCAATCTACTTTTAAGTTTTACCACTTAGAACACAAATTAATAGCAAGTATCATTAGTCTAACACTTAGAAACAAATTCATCCTTTGTACACTTCAAACTGATGGTTGGAGCAAGAATGTCTTTGTCTAACTTAGTTTATAATGAGCACCATTGACCAGACACCACACTCAGCCCCCACCTGGTACGCCTAACCCTTGAAATGAATTAAGTACTTATAGAAACACTTAATCAAAGAAATTCACATTAAAATGAAAATAGTAATTAGTAGAAGAGTTGATACCAAACATTAATAACAAGACTGAGTGGCAATGGAAGTGGGGATAGTCACTAAAAATAATCAAAAACTGTTAAACTGGGGGGTGGGGGCTGATTTTATTGGATGTGTAATTTGCAAAGAAAAAAAGAAAGTGGGTTAGAGAAATCAGAAGAATTAATCTCTTAAAGTTGCCAGCAAATGGACTTGAGAGGTTAAGCTACTTTACAGAAATAGTCCAAGCCTATCCAGAGGCAAAGTGCCTAAACCTTTTATGGTTCACTCTAGAAATCTTTTTAGACAACCAGGTTTCTGGAAAAATAAATCAAATTTTTAAGTGTTTTAAAACAATGACTGCCCTAAGGATGCAAATCAGTTTTATAATAACTGAATCTAACAGAAGCATTTATAAACTAAAGTTATTTCAATTTGCTATATAAAAGAAGAAAATCCAATATTACCCCTTTTCAATATGAAGTTTGAATAATACAGAATTAATGAAGTTATTTTATATGGGTTGAAAAAAAAAAATTGACAGATATTCTAATTATTACATATTTTATATAAAACATATGCAGTATGTGTTTATAAACATAAAAAAAAGATGTTCTATAAATGCATACTGCTACAATCAATTCAACATGGAGTGATTGTGAGCAATTTGGTTTGTGTCACCATTACTATAGGGTAGGAAGTTCAATCATCATCCATATTTGAGGCTTTGTGCCAAAATTAAGCTAAAATTGGGAAATAACACAATAGTTACATTAAATTTTTGTATTAGCTATAATACAGATTGATGAATTAATATAGATTGCTAAATCATATTTATCTATATCTTGTTATTGATCTATCCATTCTAATATAGATAAGTAACCTTAAGTACTAGACAGAGAGAGATGAGAGCTATAGGTGGATTCTATTTATTAAAAAGATTGAAATGTTGTATGCACATACAATTAATGTGTGTTTATATATAGTTTTGGTTTCACTTAATCAGAACTCATTTAAAAAGTATTATATTTATTAATAGATGCATTAACATTAGCTTCTAAGAGAGAGTTGTCTACACTTGATTTGAGAAAATATGAAAAAGAATTCAAGAAAATATTTTGATATCTAATACAACTGAAAAGGAAAATATTTTTTAAATAATTATTTAACCCATTAATGTTTTTATCATAAAAATCAAGTCTGGTATTATAGGTTTCTAATAAAAAATAAAATAAAAATAACTTTTTTAAAGTAAAAAAAAAAAACAAAAAAACAAACAGTATTGATTAAAGGCTTATAAAAATCCAATGGG